GTGCCAAATATTGTTTAAACCTCCCTACGGCTTTCATCAATTAAACTCTAAAGCCCAAAAAACCAATCGTTGGCTTTCTCGAAATCATCATGGTTTGCGTTGGGAAGAGGGTAGTATACCATTTAATGAGGGTTTAATTTCAGCCTTATGTCTCACTTTTCAATGTATATATACTAAAGGTAGGGAGAAGGCTGAGTTTTTGAAGAGGTTTCATTCAGATGTTCGTGTAATAGATGGTCCCGCTATTGACGCTATGCCAGGAATAGCATGTTCTATGGGTGACCATAAAAAGTGTGCCGTACGTACTGCATACACACTTCAGTACTACTTAAGCCTTTCACTTTATGAAGCTGGTCAGTATGAGCTTGGAGATGGAAAACGTCTGGTCACTATTGTCACAAGAACCAAAGGAGCCCGAAGGGGTGATGACTGACAGCTTTATAATGAAGTTTGATCGGTTTTTGGACTGGAACATTTTATCCAATAAATATAATTTTTCTATTGATATGCTTAGGATTTATTTTCACAAAGTCAACTGGAGTCTAATTTTGAAGCGTCAAAAATTCTCAGAAGCCTTCCTTCGAGAAATGGCTCTTAATTTTGATGGGTGTTGGGATATTGTTAGTAAATATCAAAAACTATCCGAACCCTTCATTCATGACTTTGCTAGTAAAGTAGATTGGGATTATATCTTGTTATATCAAGATGTAAGTAGCAAGTTTGTAGATGATCATTTATCGTATATAGATATTTCTTACTAAAAAAATCTTACAGATCATCTGAGGTGTGGTTTATATGCTCAACAAGCAGGCTTAAAACCCATAAGTCCACAGGGCATAAGGTTGATATAAACCTCAAAGAGGATCGCCACTCACTCATCAGGCTGGCGTAAAACCTGTAAGTCCACGGGGTGAGGAGGCTGGCCTAAAAACCTTAAGACATTGAGTCTCCCTCAGGCATCCTCAAATGTATGTGTAACCCCCTCAGATGATCTGGAAGATACAAAAAAAATATAAAGAAAAAGTATCCTTTGTCAGTGGCAAGAGGGTTAATTGAAAGGCTTCACCAAGTAAATAACCCTCTACATTAGTCAAAGGACAAAAAAAATATATAAAAGTAAAATATCCTTTGTCAATGGTAAAAGGGTTAATTGAAAGGCTTCACCAAGTAAATAACCCTCTACATTAGTCAAAGGACAAACAAAATAAAAAAAATAAAAAAATAAAAAAAATATTGGGAGGTGGCATATTTGTTATGGAGTGGCCATCACCATAGACTGCGATGGATGGGGCAGTCTATCTCAGAGGGTGTAGACCTCCTGGGGATGCCTCTGAGTTAACAAAAAAAGAATGCGCTGAGACCCCTACCTCATGGGTGGTGTGGAAACGTGGGTCAATATCCAAGCAGATTAAAAGTTACATCACAAGGTGAACTTTGTCCCCCATTTTCCCTATTTAAGCAGGACCAACATCGAGATAGTCAGTATAGCAGCACCACTCTAGAAGTCAACATCATCTGCCATCTTAAACATTTACATCATTGTAAGTATGATTTATTACTTTTTAATATATTTTTTTTGCTGGTCAATTTAATGTAAAAATTTAAAATAACGAGTAAAACAGGTAAAATACAGAGTAAAAACAATTCAACTATATGGTCTCTTTGACACATTTAACAGTTTTTTTTTACTAAAGAATACAGCAGGAAAAGATTGTTTATTAATCTCAAATTGGTAATTTCAGATAATGGACAAACAAATGTTGCAAGAACTAGCTGCCCTCGAGGTTTATGACGGTCCTTCTAAGGTCCCTTGTAAGGACCTCACCGCCGCAGAGGGCTACCCCATAAACTCCATGAAGCGCACGGAGACGAAATACGGCCCATCCATCATGGTCGAAATCGTCATGCCAAAGGGAGAGACAGCCATCACTTTCCTCCCTCGAAGATTTGTCGACCAGCTGACAAACCAGCAGATTGACCGCTTCAACAAAGGCGGCTTCAAAATCCAATGTACAGGGATGACAGGGCGAAGCCCCAACGTAAAGTTCTTTATGTAATAAAAAATATAGAAAAATAAATTTACTATTTCTTTATTTCGATTGTTTTTAATATCTTCCCTGCTACAACCAATAATTAGAAGGTAATTTGCAAAATGAAGGGTAAAAGGGTAATGCATTAATTACCTCTCCAAAGAACATTTAACTATTATATGAAGGGAAATATAAAATTTGCAGCTTAAAAATAATATTTAACTATTATGCGAAGAAAAATACAAAGATAGTTTAAAATTACATACCAACTTGAAAGATAACATTTATTTGACAAATACAAAGTTCTGCTAGCTAAATAGCATTAAGTATCATACAAAGAAAAATACAAAACTATACTAAGGAAATGCCGAGGACAGAATAAACAACTCTCCATATAAAGTCATCAAGGAAATTGCAAATCATTTGGAGGTTGTTTCCACATAAATTAGCAGAAGAACAAATTTGGCAAGCTGTCAAAGAGATAGCATTGCGATTATTTTGAGGGTCAGGTCACTCTGATTCGAGGTTTTATCTCTGTATATATATCAGAGTCAAAAATTGAAGCCTCATCACTCTCTGTGAATATCTTCACCATGAAGTTTCTTTCGGTAGTGTTTCTGCTAGCCGGCCTTACAGCCATCAACTCCTCAGACGAGGAAAATCCTCCTTCACGTTCGGTAAGTCTTAAATATTAAAATTGCTTTTTTTTAGGTTTGTATACTTTAAAATAGTCAACTTATAATTGTTTTTTCAGGTTATATTTGTATATTTTTAGTGCCCAAGTGTAAATATTTTAAACCACGTATAACAAGGAGCATAGGATGAGTGACGTTATCTTAAGATCTTATAAGCCACCACATTCTTTGACGCAGCTGGAGCCGTGATTAACGACCTGTCACATTCCTTCACAGCAATCAACAACCCATACAACCGATGATAATCACAACAGATTATTTTGAAATCAAAACCATAATTTTGTCTTGTGATTAACTAAATGTTATAATTTCAAGATAGTACTATATTGTCGTAATATTTACTTGTGCAAACATCCGGGAACTATATTACATTATTTGTATTTATCTTTTAGGTACCCAGTCCAGACATCTTTCAAGATGATGATTCTGTAAGTTATATTGAAAAAAAATACTTTACATATTTCTTTATCTTTTAAAGACCTGTTTAATAATTCAGTTTTAATTTACAGGAACTATACGTATGTTATGACATAAAATCATTTCTACATTATATTAATTTGACACTGTTTTTCCAGGACGCCACTGTGGAAAACCTCGACCTTAATCAATGGAGACGTGTAAGTTATTATTTATAAGTTTACTCTTATAAACTGTTCAAAATACATACTAATCAAAACTAAATAGTTTCTACTTATAAAAATATGTTTTTATTTTCAGAATGAAATAATACATTTATTGCTTCCATTCAACCACAACAGCACCGGGGAAGTATATTTCACCAACATCAGAGGAGATTTGCTATCATATAGACGGCAATTGAATGATAACGCTACCCTCAATTTATTTCCTCTAGAAGGGTTTGCTCACATTTCCCAGGTAAGAAAACGGTAATAGAGTACGTTTAAAAAATCCAACATTTGTTAATCATTCATGTTTGTTAATTTGCCGTATTATTAATTCATATGTATTTTCCAGCGCCGTGCCAACGTTGAAATTCATAACATGAGGAGGTACAGTTATCCAACCCCTGAAACTGGGATTTACCCCTATGTCAGAGTTGCAACTGTTAACTCCATTGAGTTGACTCTAACTACACTGATGGTCAGTAGAAATCCTAGATGTATTTACATTAATTAGTTTTACTAGTAGAATCAACTATTTTTATAACTTACAAACATTTACAGAGAGGTGGTGAACCAATTGACCAGGAACACCTTCAGTTATGGCAAGGAGATGTGACATCCAACCATACCGTAACTGAAACCTCGGAGTATTTAGAGTCCGAAGTACGGCGAACGCAGATGGAACACATCATTATGGTAATTTACCAGTATAATCATTTACTCACTTTTTAACCATTCCTAATAGCATCCCATCGTAATAAGTAATTAATACAATTACTAATAACTTTTAATTTATTTCAGCTTGAGCCTGCACTTCTGATGAATAATGACACCCACTTCACAAATACAAGAGGAAATATCCTCATATATTTAGCCAGAACGGCTCCACTGCCTCCAATCGGCTATCATCAGATAACCTATGTAAGTAAATATAACTAGCTATTATACATTTTCACTGTAAGTATATAATAGATTGTTGGTTTATCTTTTTTTTTCCTTTTACAGTCAGAGGCAGCAGACCGTTTTGTCCAAATATTAAGATCTGTGAGTGGGGGTCATTTAACCATAGAATTCAGCAGCACCTATGAAGATTACTACAGAAGGCCACGTGATCCATTTTGGATACTCATCACACATGAGGTAAGACTAGTATCAATGTTCACTATTAAATAGTACAGTAGTATGATTTAGTACCATGTAAAATATTTATTGCATAATTTACATCATTTTGTTTTTCAGAATAACGGCAGAATTCCTGAAGGAACACGCTGGTTGTATTACAATTCGACCGGCGAAGGGTCCTACATTTCCCATGTATTTAGAGGGACCCCCGGACTTCTAAGTCGGATCGAAGAACAACACAATCAGCACCTGATGGATGCCGTTTCAGGCCTTCGACCAGTACCTTCTGAACCTGTTGCTGGACCATCCAGAAGGATAAATCCCACGGTAAGAATAATATAAGTTTAGAATAAATCTTTAGCATCTATAATATATGTATATTAGAATATTGATATATTTTACATTTTTTAGCCCGTGGATGACTTCGACCCGTCACAGGCACAGGGGAACGAGCTTCTCTCTGACGAAGTACTGCCATCTTCACCTCGTAGTCCTTCGCCAGAGACCTCTTCTTCCCATGCACTGCTAGAGCCCCATCCTCTCTGCCGGAGCTGCCAACGGGAAGAAAGAATCCTACGTCAAAGAATGGAGTTTTTTCTAAGGGTGGGTTTTCATCGCCTAATTTTATTTCTCTTGCCCAACCATAACTAGAGACATCAAAAAAAAAAAAAAAAAAAAAACTTGATTTGTTTTCAGGATATCGATGCCGACAGTGGTGACAGAGCTTCGTGGAGAGCTATCGGCCACCTCAACACCACTAGGACAGAACTAAGGGAGGTGTTGACATTGGCAGATTCCGCAATTGGAATGGCCAGCCGAGCAGAGATGGCAGAAGTTGCTCCAGTCATCTGGAACGAGATCCGGACGTCCTTGGAGCGGATCCTCGTGATGACAGGACAACAGATGGACGATAACATCATTCGAGGTCAAGAAACCCCAACCGAACCTCAACGGACCATCACCTGCCAGATCTGTCAGGATGCTCTCCCGACGATTGTGATTCAGCCTTGTCACCATACCCTTTGTCCGGCATGCGCTATTCGATTATACGTTTGCCCGTTCTGTCGAAAGACAGTAACGGGCAGAAAAAGACTCTATTATGACGGGGGTCATACACACCAAAACTACCCCTGCTAGATCGGGGGACATTCTACTACTGAGCTACCGACTTGCCTAAGCTGGAGAAACAAACACAAACACTACGGTAAATTATGCTTTATTTTACTCTTAAGTCACTTTTTAAGCACTACATTTTGTAGGACTTTATATATATCTGTAGGTTCAAGATGTATAGAAAGGTGTGGATCTAAAACTACGATTTTAAGCAAACTCATATATCCATCATTAAACATACAAAACTAAAAAGGGATCATAAACGAGTGATTTGTAAAACTACTCTCGCAAAAGTGCTTTAGTATCGTATTTTATGTAACATAAACATAGTCTCAAAATATATGGTATATGAGTGTTTATACTTTAGCTTAAATATCCGCAGTAAAACACCCGGCAATATGAGGTCAGCTGAGGCGATAAAGAAGGATTCAAGCAATAACTTGTACCTGGGCTAGAGGCCAACAGACAGTTGAAATGAGCTCGGTCCCTCTATAATACCTTTGCAGACATTTGAACCAATGAAAAGATAAAGAGAAAAAATTATATAAAATGAAAAATTATTAATTTAGTTATTTATGTACTTTTAAATATATTGATAGATAGGTACGGGATTCTTATGCAGATATTAGTTACTAAAACGTACAAATTTATGTGCACTGAGTTTTCTCTCTTGCATGTATGCATACTTTCCAGAACTAATTCGGAATATTCAATACCTTATGAAGATAAAAATGCCTAATGATTCTACTATAATTATTTAATGTGTTAATGTAACAAGATATTTGGAGTATAAAATGTTGACGGAGCCTAATTATCTTTAAAACAAAAGCTTAGGATAAAATTTCCATAAATGGATTGCATGTCATTTAAAAGATCGTACCTAACGTACACTGTATACAAGGAAGATATTCGTAATTATTGATGAAAACATGCAAATGACATGTGATTCATGAAATACAAACTCAAGGTAAACATATGTTGTTAGCGTATTGTTACCACAATGTAATTGATAGGTTTAATTGTTGTAATTGTCTATGATGTAATTGTTATGCAGAACATGCATAAGATAAACTTAAACATTTAAGTGATAAATTAAACTTTAGTTATGGTGATTCAAAATCATAAAATTAAAACGTCTGAAATAATAATTTGGCCAGAATAATTTAGAATCACCTGTCGCTTGGATTATACAGAATAGGCAAAAGTCTGGAACCCTCCAGTTAACTTTTTAACACGTTGCAGTAGGAAAACCAAACTCGGCACATATTTAAACATAAGAAATTGCACTTTTTCATCAAAGTTACAACTTTGCCTCAGCCCCCAAAATGGGGTATTTTGGGGGTAACTCAAAATGTTCAAATGTAAACACCTATCATGTGACCCCTCATTCTAAAGGGTTTATCAAGAAAAATTGAATGGCGCAAACTACAGGTCAATATCGCACAACTAATCAAAATGGCAGTCATATTTATATATCCCCTATTATCTTTTTAACAGGTTAGGAATCTCAGCATACCTTTATAAAAAAGATAATTCCCCTTTTGGTCAGTATTAAAATATAAACTTTTTAAAGTTAACTGGGTGTGTCCAGACATTATCTTGCTTGCTCATCTTAAATAATTAAAATTGCTGCCATTTTGATTAGGGGTACGATATTGACCTCTAGTTTGCGCCATTCAATTTCTCTTGATAAACCCTTTAGAATGAGGGGTCACATGATAGGTGTTTACATTTGAAAGTTTGGGGCTGCCCCCAAAATACCCCATTTTTGGTGCTGGGGCAAAATTGTAACTTTAATCCAAAAGTGAAATTTCTTATGCTGTAAATATTATGTTGTAATACGTTTGGTTTCCCTACCACAACGCGTTGAAAGGTTAACTGTGGGGTTTCAGACTTTTGCCTAACCCTGTATAATATATATCTGTTAAACGTTCTAAAATATTATAAAAAGATTTAAAGGACAGATTTTTGAGGATTCTTAGGATAATAATGTTTCTTACATCTGTACAAGCTCTTACAGTTCTTTATTTTGCTGCTCTACCGACCAACGCAGGATTCTTTATTTACTAAACGGCACACATGATTTAAGCTTTATATAAACTTAAAAGTTTAACAAAGTTCAGTAGGAGATGACAAAGCTACTCAAGGCATTTCACTTTATTCTACATCCTTCACTCATATTTGGGTTGAAATACGCCCATTTGCGTGCAATTGGTAATATTATAATTCTTATATTGTAACGCACGTCATTTGCGTAAATTCAATCACGCTGTGACCTTTAAATTGGTAAAATAATTATGTGTTTCTAAAACAGTTATTTATTACATACCAAAAATTAGTTAAAGCGTTTTCAGACTAATAAAAACATACAGAGTCAGCAAATCTTGTTCAATATTCAAAACTCGTAACCTTTGACGACGAGGCTATACCCAAACAGAACGTGTTATCCTATGACAGGTTACTGAATTTAATTTTCTCTTAAGCTAGAATGAATTTAAATTCTTACACTCTTTTGCATATTCAAAAGGTAGAATAAGTCAAAAAGGTATTTATAGTACAATGAACCTTGGACATCTGAGTAGATCAAATTAAACGTAAAAATATATTATAAATTTTTACAGTAATTTTTATTAACCTAATTAATTTATCATCCCTTGACGTTGTTGCGTATCTTATCAATAAGTTCGTTTTAAAAATTACATCCATTCTACTAACTTATTCTAATAGTGTGAGTAAATCAACCTTGCTAGATATTTATAATGTATTTAATAATGACACAATAGTAAGGCGTTTCTTTAATACCCCTAAAAACATACCTAGATATATAAATAAATATGAGTTTCAATACTAATACGGTACAAGAGGTTGCTGTTGGAGATTGTATCAATAGTTGATGTATACATATCAACAGTATGGATCAAACCGTAAATCCTTCCCAGGACACATCCCAAATGATCTGTAGGAAGTTGAGTTCGGCGGATTTATTTATATTGGACTCAGGAGAATACTTGACTGACTTCGCTATTCCTTTCCTTTTGTCGGTTTTGTTTGTAATTACTCTTCTCCAGGGACCTCTAAGGAATCCTTTTCTTCAAACATACACAGCCACGGCTCTTGGAAAAAGCCCTTTTGCTTTCAACTTTCCATGCTTTCTTTGAAAATGTATTCTTTTAAATGTTGGTATTTGTTTTGGATTATTCTTTTATGCTGCATCTAACAATCTAATGCTAAATCTAATAAACATCAAATTATGAAACAGAAATTTAAAAATTTTATTCATTTATATCAGGTTTTTAAAATATAATATATAAAATCACATAACTAACGTAAACCAATTTGTAATTAATTAACTCAATGATATTAATGCTTAAAGTACATTCATTACAGTTTTTACAAACTGTTTTCCAAAGAAATTACTCATGTGACACCAAATTGACATACTAGAATGTCTCTTACAGTATTATACCTAGTCACAGGTAAAGTTACTACAGTATCGAGGAGTTGTGTTGGAGTTTAACCCACATGCGGCTGTGAAAGCAGTAATTGGGAGGTCAACAAACTAACTTTACAACTGGTTTCTACTGTTTAGACTTTGCTGTTTTGAAATGACGAGTTTAACATCTTTAAAGTTTAACATTACGATTTTATCAAGGATTTTTTACTTTTTTACACGTAAAACAAAAACGGAAGTTCCTCATTAAGGTGTGTTGAACATGCACAGTATAAATATCCCTTCTTAAATAATAAACTCACATAAAACGCTTTGCATTGATGAATTTAACATATATTATGACAACTGTTATGTTTTCTTTTGTAATTTTATTTCATATTTAGAAGATTTAAACTATTATCTTGCTAATCAATACAACTGTTAGTCTGCAGAGATTAGACAGAGAAATATTTCAACTTTAAGTTCTTGGTTAAAACGTTTTTAAACATGAAACTAAAATATCTGACTGTCAGGAATTAAATCGTAAGTCAAATGTGTAACTGGACGGATTTATTTTTCACCACTGGTTCCAAAACATTGTTGTAATATTTTATTATTTGTGAGAAAAGCATTTGTACAAGTGAATGTAAAGTAATTATTCATAGACGAAAGCGAACTTTAACAGTAAATTAAAACAATCATAAAGTCGAGCTTTTTAATTACCAAACGTTTAACAACTTTCTTTGATATATTTAGTTCAAAAAGTTTGGCTATTGGTTATTTTGATGATTTGTCGTATATTACTTCCATATCCTAAATCATTAATGTTATGAAGAAACTATAACAATTGCAATCAGTTTTTAGAAATATTTTAGCTTCTAAAATAAAAACTACATACACCCATAAGATGTAGCAAGCTAGAAACAAATACATAAAAAAATCTAATATATATATGTGTGTGATTTTATGCTTGATCTAAACTACTGTCTGTCAAAAACAATATTCATCACTTGCTAACTACTTTTTAAGAAAAACAAATACCACATGATTTATCATGTAACAAAATGGTCAAAGAGCACTTCAAACTTGAAGGTCACTATGGTTCGACTCCAACCAAGATTGGATCTGGGCCGAAAGATATTTTCGTTGTGCTTTTAAGGAAATGTTGCTTACTAACAAAATGTCAACTTGGGATGGTAAGATTACCAGAGTTTGAATTGTCCCCTGACAAAAAACTCATACAATTTTTAAAGGCATAAAATAAAAGAATAAAATAAAACTAAAAACCTTGCTAAAGATCGTGAAAATTATTTTTACCTCTTTAAAATTAAGACAAAAAATATATCTGTAGATAATAGGATTAATATTTGGTAAAAAGATTAAGAGAGTTATTAACCTTAGACAATTTAGGTTCGATAACAAGAGGTAGTTAAGTGTTGAAACAACAAATCAAAGGATGTTTACTTGATCACTCAGGTGGAGTGTTAGGTGATTAGCTTCTCGTGCCTTTGATGTCTTTGAACGTGCTTCAAACCAATCTACTGGGTTCATACGAAGAGGGCTGTAGGATGTTCACGCTATAGAAGGATGCTTAGCAAACATACTGCAATTTTTTACGTAGCTTTTTCATAAATATTCAAACGCTCAAGCAAAGTATTTGTAATCTAAATTGATGTGTTTGCCACGGTCCTTAAAACAGCAACGGTATGGATCATAATCATAAAAAATTATGTCACTGGCCGATGGTAATCATGTTTTAACTGTAAATATACGTCTTAACCATAAATTAAGGCTATTAGTATAATATTCGGGCCTGTAACGAAATAATATAGCTCAAATTCGTATATTCCAACATTATTTGTCATCCGTGATTAAAATATTTTCACATAACTTTCCTTCGAAACAGTATTTTATGACAGGTCACAAAAAAAAATAAATACGATGCGTAGGGAAATAATTATTTGTGAGAGCTATAATATACTCCCTAAATAATTATGTTCTACGTACATTAAAAAATATGAACAAATAACTACACTTGTTGTTGCGTAATATTTCACATTCAGGAATACTCAATGAGACACGTAGACGAACCGTAGCTAATAAAAGTCATGATTAAATTTATAAAACATAAAAAGATAATCGATTTTACACCATACAATAATTTCGGTTTAAACAACTTGCCACGTCGACTATTATAATATTTTCCATACCACAAGAACAAATAAATACACTACTCTTAATTAGCATTAATAGTATAATGTTCATAATCAAAAATGATAAATTTGAATTAAATAACAAACAGAAAACTTCTGCAATATCTTTGAGTTTAATCAACATACTGTACAAATAATGCCATTCTTTTAAAAGGTAAAAAGGTAAGATGGATTTAAAACATTTATGTTAAGGTGTTATTATTAATTTAAATATTATTCGGTAAAAAGATTGTTTTATTTTAACTCAAGTCATTCTGTATATTCTTGTTTAATCCTGTTGAACACACTTTTTGATAGAAGCCCTACAAACTTCTATTCCATGAAACTCAAGATTATTAAATGCATTTTCCTATAAACCGGCTTACGTAAAACCAGTCTAATCTATATTACTATTTTATGTGTACCTCAATAATTATTTATTAATATTATTGTCCTCTTTTGGCTTTTACATTCATAATGAATGTATAGTAAGTTAAATCATTAGTTAGTTATGCTTTTACGCATTTCCAGCAAAAATATGAATATTATGTAACGCTGTCAACTTGCTTAATAGGAAGCCTGAACAGGAAGCAATAACGAAATTGTCAAGTTTATGCGACCCAACGACCCAGATCAGTTTGATTAATGTTTCCAGCGCACATAAAGGCCTTGTGAAACTAGACCGAACAATAAACACTGCCCAAAGCAATGAGGTACGGGATCGATGAGATGCTGTGTAGGAGAGATGGGAGCACCGCAGGGTGCAACTCTGGGACCACTGATGTTTTGCGTTTGACTTTGTACGATAAGTTACCGAGTAGAGATTGATGTCGGTTCCAGGCCAGATCTGGTGATTGGGGCTTTGATCTCCGAGATATCCGAACAACGCCAATAACACGCGGATTCCGAAGCTCGACAATGATCGGAGATGTTCGGCAGTGTTCGGATCGCGGCCAGGGGTTGAGGGTGGACCGTACTCAGTCAGTGTGTGATATAACGCCGCCCCTAACACAGAACTTGGATAACGTTAAGATTCGTGAGTTTTCAATCTTTACATAGTTATAGTTTTGTTTCTTTTTGTAGTGTCAAGTAAATTTAAGGAGTGATGGAGCGTTTAATTATTCCGTTTTAAAAATGTGTTATGTTTATTTTGTATTTCAACTGTGTACAAAAGTTAGTGGACATTAAGGATAACGGTAAATGATTTATAATTCCCTGAGTTGATTCGTAATGAGTTTTAACTGGCGACGAAGTAAATTTAGTATTTTAAAATTTAAATTCATTATACTCAATTAGATTTAGTAGTGTAGTAAGAATTTTTATTCTAAAACAAATTAGATTCAATTCAGAATTTTTAGAAAAAGAAATATATATAATACCACATACATATACCAAAAACATTAATTTCAGTAAGAGGATGGTGGAAAGTATTTGTTTTGGAAACGTTACAAAATAAACACTCTTAAAAGTGTCTTTTGTTCATTTCAGCTTTCTTGGATCCCTTTCATGATTCATATTGACAAAACGTAAGTTTCGTTTTGAGGAAGTTAAAGTAACGGAATACACTTTCCTCATTTATGTTTTACTGAAATAATTGACATTAACATATTGTTATAGATAAACAGATATCAAGCTAAGTAGTAAAGATAATATCCAATAAATTTAATATTCCAAGATTGTTGTATAAGAATATTTTTCCTACCTCATATCCTCATACCACATCATTCATCATCATCATCATTTTGGATCCATTCTTATTTTAATTGAAAGTTATGCGTAAAATTACTTTAATCTTAAGTAAAGTTGTCTAAGCTTGTGTGGTGATCCTGCACAAAAATGTAATGATTTGGAAAACATTTTTGTAATCCAACTTATTATTTAATTAATTAATTTTAATATAAAAATTTAATCTTACATAGAATGCAGATTTAATCTGGATCTATAACACATACTAAAATATCAACTGGTGTATGGTAAAGTATCTACCTCATTGAAATTAATGAACGCATAGACTTTATATTTATTATTGTTACTTACACCAAATAAAGCTAAATGAATAAAAAATTATGCATTTTAAGTGTCTTTTAGTTTTAAAGAAACCCGGTGAACAATGGGGTGTATTTGACAATCTACTCGTATACTGTTATTTTAAGGGAATTATCTTAGACAAGAACATCAACAGTACATTTCAACCAATTTAAACCGACATTTATCATCCCCTATAAATATATATTTGTGTTGTTAAATTAAGTGATTTAGGCCTACGTATGTAATTATTTTCCCCAAAGATGTTTATAAGTAAAAGTTATTTGAAGCTAAAATTCAAAATTTATAATTTTGCTTCAAAAGTTAAGTGACATTGCTATATAAAAACTTTAATTATATTATCTGTCAAACAACACGCATCTTAAATTAAACTGCAATGATGGAATAGTTCTTAATCATGTTGAAACATAAAAATATGATGGATTTTTGTTGATTTGCCTTAGTTGATGAGGAATATGCCTGAGTACTCATAAAACTTTTCCATACAAAATTTTCACAATACAATGGAAGAATTCCGAATTTTGTGAACGAATGGATTAACCACGTGACTAGTCAAATAGAATTAAACAAAATTCCAAGTTTATTGGCGTGCTACTCTAGGAAAGACTATAAAACTATTTAAAATTGCAATTGTATAAAATCATTGTAAATATGAAGGTTATTAAAAAGTGCGTTTTTTACGTTCACTTATGTTTGGGTAAACAATTAATCTAAATTTATAAAATTTGTATTTTAAATAATTTACTTGTTTATGTTTACTGAAACTATCCAGGTGTACGTCTAATTAGCAAATAACTTAATCATATATACGACCCGAACAAAATATGAAGTCGCAATTTATATTTTGGTTAAATAATTCCCTTTCATGTCCATATAGGTATTGAACGGTGATCATATATACATATAATTATATACCATAGCTAAAATACATTACTCGTTTACCAGTTATCATCCATAATGATTATTAAACATAATAAGTTATTAATGAGTTATTTTATACATAATAAGGAAAATTAGTTAGATCATGTTTCTATTTTGTAAAGCTCAACAGAGTTTTTTGAGCCCCGCAATATTTTACTGGTAACAAAGCTTTGCCGCGGGCTATGCTGCTTGTACTTTGTTTTATTGTTGGATTCTGGTAAAACTCAAGATAGCGAAATTCTCTGAGAGAGCGGTAATGTATAATGGGTATTGCTTTGTAGCATTTACGTTTTAACTTGGAAAGTATGAAACAAGAATCTTTAGCCTGTTTTAGAGGATTCAAAAATAAATAAGACAGTTTGGCACGATGGTTGGTGAAATATGAATAACCAGAAGGCCCTAATGTGAAAAGAAGAAAATGAAACAAATACTAAACATTGGTATGCTAGAAAAATTTTAAAACTTTATGTAGGCCTATTTTGAGCAATATTCATTTAAATTTCTTTTTTCAACCTTCTCAGCTGTACTTCTGAAAAATAACGTGACACAACAGCTCAAAACATACAATTTCAACACGAACCTCTAGGTTTATTTTTGATTGTTGTAATAGGTTAGTTAGGTTTGCTTTATACGTTTAAAATTAAACATTATAGTTACAAACTGGCTGATAGCTGAGTGGCTATAGCGCTCGCCTAACAATGAAAAGGTCGCCGAATCGAACCTGAGAAAAGTCAGTAGCTTTTTGATGGTTCGAACTAAACCCAACTGGTCCTGATTATTGGGCTTTAACCAAACGATCCTGACTAATGGAACAGATGTTCTTAGCCAGTACCAAAGTTACACAGATCCATACATATTTGCCTCCACGATTGCCTAATTGATTTAAAATGAGGTTACTAACCTGTCGTAAATCAATCCTATATTTGACTATAATTTCGGGGTAAAACCCCCATTTTCAAATCTTCATTACTCAAATCGTCAAACATATCTTCCTGCACTTCCCGTTGTCAATAAAACATTACACATAAACACACTAGGAAACATTTAGATTTACAAAAAAATATGTACAATCTCGCTAGGCGGACCAAGAACAAGACTAGACTGTTTGAGGACAGGTAAGTAACCTCATTTTAAGTATACACAGATAATTTAACTCTATTATAGGCCTACTCATCTTTCCCTTTTGGGTTAAAATACAATAGTTAAATAATACAATACAATATAATATAATACAATAATAATACAATTATATCAATAATAAAAAATACAACCACCATAGTTAAAATAGGTGGTGTTCCCACCTCAATGATTGATAACTGATAATTATATGTCCTACCGTTACTTAAAAAAGATAGTACAGTAGTTTAACCTTTACAAGAGAGGGCTCAAATTGTTCAATAATTACCAGGTTTTTGTAAAACGACATGCGTTAACTTTAATTTAACAAAACATTTGTTATTCATTTGGATATGGTGGACGTTTATGCCGTTATTAAATTAATAGCGATTGCAAACAACTTATTTTTATACTAGTATAGAAGGGGGAAACCTTTTGATTTCTTATCTTTAATTTTGGTTTGGTATGTTAAAATTCATTTAGAAAAAAATATATAAAACAACCTAACCTAAAAATGCGTTTGTAAAATTCATAAAAAAATCCTACATTAAAGGGTTAAATTATATAAAACTCACTAGCTTACAAATATCAGGAGTAAAAAAGTATAGCATCCCAACAATTATACAAGAAAAGAAAATTAATTTGTAAAACAACCGTGTTTTAAGTCAGATTAATTTCACCCAGTGGTATAACGGAATGGACCACAGCAATATTTTTAACCGTAGCCGAGATAAAAGGGTGGTATTACTGAGGATCCAGTTGATGAATGGTGGCGGCGCGTGTTGGCAGCATTGGTGCTGACAATGCGGCCACTGTTGCCACTGGCCTGTCTTGTCTTGTTGCGTGGTTGGCAACGCTGATTTTGGCACAGGACGAGCCCTTCAATCGACATTTCGTTCGTTTACTTGTATGTTCGTGAAAACTTTAAAAATCTGTAGTAAGCTAAATGAAATGTTTGTTATGTAACCCAATGTTTTGCTGGATCTATTAAGAAACTGTTTAATATTTTAAAGTTAGCATTAAGAGTGTTATCATAAAGAGGATTACCACTATTAAACATTTGCCCTGTTCAAATGAAGCTGTTGGAAATGAACCTATCCTAACCTAACCTAACCTAGCATAACTCAACCTGAACTGAATAACCTGATATAACTTTCATATAACGAATTTTAATAGTGTGGACACTTTTCTTGATAATACCCAAAATTAAAAGACATCGACCAACATTTTTCGGTTGAGTGAAATTCGATGTAAAATTGACTGCAGTGTTTGATGGTCTGCTGCATCACTGACGTTCCACAGAGAGAATTCAATAGCTAAAGGAATTCAAAACGGATATCGAACAGTGTTGATCTTCAAAACCAAAAGCATTGACTAATTATATTACGTTCCTAAAGTGTGTTTGTACCAAAGATATGGTTTTGTATACAAGTGTGTTATGACAGCTGTTGACGAATAAAATAAAATAAATAATTGTTCCTTTAAATCTTGCAATCCTATAGCTAAAATTTTATTGTAAAAAACTGCTTGTAATATTGACTTAAGATCTATTAAAAAGTCTATTACTAATTAGTTACATTGTTAAACATTTTGTTGAAATTTTGCGTGCCTATTTATAATCTAAAATGCAATTAATTCACTTAATCTTTCTTCCACTTATAGAAAAAATAACTAAATTTCATCTATATATATATATCCAAAAAGGACTTATCAAAGATAAATTCATTATATAATACACCAAAAACAGTTTTTTCCAGTACAACATTTGTAATATGTACTGAATATCACTGATGTAAGTATTATATTAGAATTGTTTTTATAAAGTTGTCAATGACAATAATTTTCAAGTTACTTTATAAGATAACAAAATTTAAATATAATTTTAATCCGAAAGTGATCTAAAGTATGAAGTTAAACAACGTCTGATGGCTACTGAGACGAAGATAAGTTTCAGAAGTGGAATCCATTTTAGATTGTAAGCCCTTATTTCGTTTCTTACCCTTCTTTTCTAATAATTTTTTACTAAAACTTAATTTCGACAATAACAACCTATTACCTCCTAGCTTGATATCGTTTCGTGTTACGCCAATAGAAATATTTTCGAATTATTCAAATGTATAAGCTAACAGAATCATTGTACAAGTAGTACAACACTCAAGCTTACAGCTAGTTTTAACCAGTCAAATTACACTGTATAATATTTTTAACTTATGAGAGCGTTGGCATAAAATGCTAACAGAGTGAAAAAGTCACATGGAGTGTCGCAGTTGGTTAATAATAAGGTCCAGTCCCGGGGCTGCGATCAGCTGTCAGCACTATGCCACCATCACAAACATGCTCGATAACTGGAATATTATTTGGTATACACCGTTCCAGTTTAATTCAAGTTTTAATTAATTGAAAATATTTATGTAATTCAATGAAGTTTATATGTACGAAATTTGTACTGAATATTATGTATACGAAAACATCTAACATTTCCAATAGTGTTTATATACTTTTACTTTACCCATTACAGGATGTAATAAGTATGTAATAATAAAGTATGTAATAA